CAGATCGACCCTATCCCCTCATCGATTGGACGTGTTGTTGAGCCAGCGCCTCCGAAGAAGACTAAGAAGTCTGATCGAGACGAGGATGCCATGCGCAGGCTCATGTTCATCGATGAAAGCGCCCCGCAAGGGGCTGCCACTGTGCCAGAGCTTCCAAATGAGTACTTCTACAATGGCAAGAAGCACTTGATGAAGCCCTTCAACCCGGAGGACATCGTAGGAGACAGGCACGTGACATTCAAACACGGAGACCTGAAGTTTCTCACCAAGCTGCTGCGTGGCCATGAAATGGACAGCTTCCCTTCATTGATCTTTGACCGTGGGTGCTGGACAGACGTTGACACTCTGCTCCAGGTCTTCAACACGGCACGAGGCGCACGCTGGGGTGTGAGGCAGCTGCTACGCGCAGCGAAAGCCGATAATAAGGGACGGATCAGACTTTTGGGTATTGACGTGCCAATGAAGGACACCCTGGGTCAACCGCTATTCCCTGTCAGAGTGAGGATGGCCCAAGGGCATAACTCCAAGCTCATCGGCAATAACCCGGACGCGGACTTCTTCCTCGCGACCAGGTTCTACAGCGGATTGTCCGAGTACGAGGCCGACCTGCAGAGCAGCGTCAGGGGGGTCACTGTGCTCTCCCGCGAGGATACCCCCCCAAAGCTCTTCCACCGCACGAATGAAAAGGGAATGAAGGGTATCCTCCGCGATGGAATGATCGCTGGCTCCGCGAGGTCAGACAGGTCCCACAACTACCTGTCCCCGTACAAGTTGGACGACACCCACTACAAGAGTGGAATGCGCTCCAACCAGCCGATCGAGTTGACGATAGACACGCAGCGAGCAATCGCCGCTGGATGCGTTTTCTTCGTCACGGAGACCGACGGCGTCCTCACACGGGACAATGTGCCTCCCGATTGCGTGCTTTCCGCCGTCGACACCAGCAAAAAGAACCTCCCGCTCTACGTCGCCGAGCACAAAGAAGCCGCCCGCGAGGGTGAGCCAGAGCGCATTTTCCGCGCAAAGCGCGACTATGAGGAGGCCGCAGCAGCAAGCTCATCATCGGCACCGCCCCCAAAACAGGCGGCTATCGCTCCCAAAGCGATTGCTTCAAAGAAGATGCCGAAGGTGGTTCCCAAGCCCGCCGCAATCGCCGAAAAGGACGAAAGCATGGACTTGGATGAAGCCACCCGCGAGGGTGAGCCTGCTGATGCTGCTGGTGCATTCGACCTTGACGAAACCAAGGTTGAGGTTGAGGTCGAAGTCGATGAAGGCGATACAACGGATGCGGGTGAGGATGAGCCGTACCCACTTGGCTCTCACCCATGCCGAGAGTGCGCAGCAGTCGTTGCCAATGGCATGCTGTTCTGCCTCCGTTGCAAGGCTCCCCAAACGGATGACTCCAAGAAAATCACAAAGCGAGTCTTTGAGAATTCGAGACTCCGCCAGCGCCTTCTTGCCACCGCTGCGACCGGAGCCCAGAAGCCCATCGATGATCTCCTCGCGAGTGACCTTCGAGGCCTGGGCGAGGGACCAAAGAAGCGTGGTCAGATGAGCGCGGAGGCCGCCGCCATTCGTGACGCCAAAGACCGAAAGATCAGGGCCGCCAAGTTGAACTTTGACACCGTGTCCGACCGCTTCGAGAAGGACGCGCAGTTCAACGTGAGGATGATGCAAGAGGGCCGCAGCCTTGAGGACATGCAGAAATTCGATCACCTGTCGAACGCTGTGCTTCCCGATCCAGGACGCAGTGAGGAGCAGCGCTACTTGCGTGCTGGCTCCCATTATGGTGGTGGCAATGTCCCGCCTGCGAAGCTGGTCTATTATGCCCACTGCGAAGTGGAGCCGTTGAGGAACTTGCGGTTTATCGATGATACCGCGGATGTCCCCATCGGCTTGACCTACCTCGGTGCATTCCTCCCTCCGCGACTCTATGCTGAGGTGGCAGCGGTGAACGATGCTGCGAAAAGGATCCTGACTTTCGACGGCGAAGTCTATGTGTCGGCTACCACAATTGAAGGCATCACAACTGAGATCGGACAGATTCTTACCGATAGCCTCCGTAGTGCTCAGGACCAGACAGCCCAAACGGAACGTCTGGCAGAGCGCAATCGCCAGGCTGCAGTCCAGAACCGCCCATCCCAAAAGGGACGTGGTCGCACGACAGCACCTGAGCCCATGTACAGAGGCTATACTCAGGCCCAGTGGGACGAGTACTATCGCCAGCGTCGTGGAGGTTACACTCAGGCCGAGTGGGATGCATGGAACCGCACCCATAGGCGCTGAGTCCTCATTCTGATTTGCTTCGGACCTGCAGGGCTTCCCCGTTGTGCTTTATAAATGCTCGCTTTGGCAAATTCCCAAATCCGTTGAAGCCCAGGGCAACCTGGAGCCATGTACTATCCGCCTTAGCTCGAGCAGCACGGCGAGGGGGGTGTAGATTTTACCCTGCCTCCATTGCTATTTCTATGGTCCTTAGCTATGTCTTTACGCGACCGCACTTGGCCCAAGTCCCCCGTGGAAAAAGGTCACAAGGGTTGACTGACCGGTAACTAGACGTGCCAAGCTGGTAGCCTGGGAAACTTCAGAGATCACCCGCCAGAATCTTTCTCATGCGTGAACGTGGATTCGAGGGCAAGCATCATAGAGACGAATGGCCTGCGTGATTCTCAAAAAGGGAGACGTCGGAGGCATGGATAAAAGTAAGCGATTTTGGCTGCACGACGGCCACAACGACAACCAGCCCCAAATGAAGAACTTCTGATTGGGTTGTTTACGAAAGTCATAGATGCTTGTACGGAGTAGACCAACGGGGTCGATGCGTCCAACATCAAGACAATCAAGACAGCTGCTGCCGAGTAGTGCGGATGCAGTGCCAAAGACATCAACACTTCGATTATGACAGTCGTGCGCATCAGATCGGAGGCTCGTGCCACAGTAGCCGGAGGCCGTGCAGTTGACCATAAATTCGTAACTAAGATAAACGCTTGCTGCTTGTCCTGTGACGCCGGCAGGATGCTTCAATCCCATGACATTCACACTCTTCCTGCGATTTGGTTGAGAGCAAGTTGAGGTTATCAGCAACGACGGGCCCGAGCAGGTGCAACACTCTTTGCATTCAGAGGAAAACCCTGCGGCTCCGAGCCGCTCGTGGCGGCGATCCGTGCCGAAGGAAGGCAGCTGGTACTGCGAAGAGGGCTATGGTGGAGTTCCTCAGGCGCAACAGTCGCATAAACGGGACCCAGGTGGGCATTCGTTGTGTGTGCTGGTGCGCCGTTGACGCTGGATGCCAGCCGGAGCTCATGTTTGAGGTGGCTTTACAGTTTGCCAGAGCGCGCGAGCTTCCCGGGTACATGCTTGTGGGAGTCATCTTTCTTTAGCATCACTATAGCCAAAGCTCTCCTTCTCTTGCAGGGACGGATTCGTGTTTCTTTATACCAGTTACCAGCACCAAAGCTCTTGCAGGGATGCGCAACTCTGCAAACCTGCAAGTCCGAGCCTCACTTCAGCTCGCGAAAAACTGCTTTGCTCAGAGCAAACCGGGCTCAAACAAAAGGCCGATGAACCTCACGACGATTCAGTGCCAGTATGCGTGAGACTTAGAGCTGCGCTTGCAGCTGCCGTAGATCTGCCTTTCTGTCGTGCTGCTAGTGGCGATTGTGCATAGCGGCATAGCAGTCGTGCTAGTGGATTGTGCATTGCATGCCGAGGACATCTCGAACTGCACTTCGCGGCTGGCTGGGGGTGAGACCTGCGAGGTGCGGCGAATGCTCCACCTGCCTACTGGTGCTATTTGTTATTATAGCTCTTGGTGCCATGGCACTTGGCTCCTTTTCGAAGCTTTCGTCTTTTCGCTCCACCGATCTCCTCACCGGCCGAATTACGGATTGGGAATGGGCAAAGACTTTTCGTCCACAGGTCGAGACTCAGACTCAGCATCGCAGAACATAATGCTGGGCAGCTTAGATGACGCAGCAGGTTCTTTGCAGGCTCCCAGCTGTTGGAGACGGTGTCATTGCGTATTGGCCTGACGACAACACAGCCTCGCACTCAAGTGGACAGAGGACCATCTCGCAAAAAATTGCACAGTTCCTGGCAAGTCAGACAGTCGAGGTTCCTGAGCAAGAGCTGATGGCACGAATCTCAGCAGGCAGAATGTGACAAGCAACGCAACCGAGTAGCGAGACTACGATCCGAACAATGCTGCAGTCTACAAACTAATTTATTTTCGCGAGACTAGTAGATGCTACGAGGAGAGCTCCTCATCGCCCTTCTCCACTTGAATTAAGGCGGCAGAACTCGACCCTTTGACTGGAGGGACGATTTATCGGCTCTGAGCTCAAAAGGGCTCGGGCTGTGGCTTCCCCTTCAAGACAGGTTGGTTTTTGATGATTCTGCTTCTCTTGACGCTCTGTTGCCAGGCCATTTCAGTTTCCCTTGGTGCGAGACTCCATCATTCTGCGCGGATCCGGATCCTCTACCTCCTGGCTACGTCAGGCGGACCTCGCCAGCCATATGGCCATGACATCTTTTCACCTGATGCACGCCATCTGTTGAAATCTGCTCGGTGTCCTTTCGCTTTTCCTTTCTGTGCAATCTCATTGTGGGAGTGACAATCGCGAGGACCGGAACAGAAGGTGGAACAGCTGAGGAGAATTAGGTGCTCGAAGCTCAGCCTCCGGCAGCGTGATGCCACATGCTTCGGGTGCAAACGGCTATTCCGCATCACCGCGAGTCAAACGGACTTGTGCCATTCGGACTTGCGTTGGCGGTCGTTTCACACCTGTTCTTGTTCGCTTAGCTTAAGATTCTTCTCAGCTCTCTTCTGCCTTGCGATGTCGTGTTCTTGTTTTCGATGCCAGTCAGACGTCAGATGTCGGCCGAGGTAATGTCGAACACATCTGATCCGCTGGCGGCGCCTGACTCCCAGCAGGTGTTGACGGGCGTATCTCAGAGCCGTGCCTCACTCAGGCGTGAACTGCAGTGGAATTGACGAGCGCATGATCGACACTTGCCGTCGCATGCTTAGACTCAGTGGGAAAGATAAATGTTCGAGCCGTCAGTTCTGCTACGTCTCTCCATCTCTGGGCTGTCCGAGGATACGACGTCTCCAATTGTCCCGAATTCTTTGACCCAGGAAGCACATGCGAGGCTGGGCAGGGCACTGCCGGCGCCAAAGGATTGGGCTGGAAACCTGGAAACGGGCTGTGGCGGCTAGCTATCTGGCTTTTTGCAGGTTTCCTGTCGAGAGCCCTTCTACATCGGCACCGGTGCAGCTTTGGCGACCTGCCCCAGCGTCCGACGCTCAGGGCAGAGCAGCAAACAGGTGCTGCAGACCTCCAGCCTTCATGCCGGCAACGCGGTGCATGCTTTAAGCCCCAGGACAACACAGACCCAGAGAAGCAAATCGAGTTTCCTGCGGACTTGGTATGTGATACACTCAGCAGTCAGAGCTGTGCTAATTGCCTGAATTCGCATTGTGGTGCGGAGGGACAGATCACATTGTAGAGCGAGAACGAAATGGCTCTTGAAGGCATTCTGGGCAACCGTCACTGAGGCACGAAGGCTTGCCCCGAGCCAGATCCTGTGCCTGCGGGCTACGAGAAGGCTGGGGAAGCGACGTGCTGTCTGTAGGTACGGTAGCATAGCACGCCTTGCCCAGGTGAACGGCGAGTGGCCATGTGCAGCCGGTTACCTCGGGTCTGCTATCGCCGAATGCTTCGCCAATAGCTCGGCTGTGTCATCAGCTTTCCACGGAAATCTGCAATTGCACAGATGCCGTTACGAGTCAGAGCTTTGCTGTTATGCCAAGAACGTAAAGACACCCTCGAGAAGAAGGGCTGGTCCGCAGCCGTCGGTCTCCGACCTAGGTTGACTCGATGTTCAGCAGCAGCACAAGAACAGTTGTCTGCGTGGTGAGCAGCTCAGTCACATCCTACACAAATCACCGCATGGCTGTCCCGACGTAGGTCAGACGTAGCGAGAGCAGTGCTCGAAAGCTCACCCGTAGCGGGAGCAGTGCTCGAAAGCATGTAGCTCACCGAACGGACTGTGGACTTATGAGAGCGGTGGAGCCACCTTTTGAGCCATAAGCTGCTGGTGGGAGCCATTTGCTCATGATGGTAATTAAGAGTCGAGTCTAGCATGTACGTTGGGGTGCCGCTCCACCCTGGCGCAAGAGCACACGGAATTGGTGTATGTTCTTCCTTTCATCATACCGGAAGAGTACAACTTCATCAGCTTTTTTTGTGTCTATATGGTGGATAAGTCACTGTTGCCCAGACTAGGTGAATACCAATCAATTGGTGCCGGGCAAAAAATGTCATGTGCGCCGGTTTGAAAATCTGCATCTGCTGGCCTTGTCGTGGAGCTTCATATTTGGGGGCTTTTTGTGAGTTCTCCACAGTATGTTAAGGAATGTTAAGGATGGTCGCTTGTAATATGTGATGGTTATATTATCATCAGGTGCTTAAGAAACCGACCAAAAACCAGACTGTACGGTTTTTCAACTAAAAGGCTAACCTCATCTCTCAGGTTAGGTCTGTGATTGTTTCTCCTTTGTAAGGCATCCATTCATTATACTGGCTAAATACAGCTACTCTCTTAATGTCTATAAAGCTGCAGATAGTATGGTTGATAGATCCCCCAGCCAGATAGGCTGCAAACGCTATGCGTCGACTGCCTCGTCAGCATGTTATGCCACAGCAGGCCCATGATATCCGCCGCCTTCAGCAGTTGTTTAGCCTTTGTTCCCAGGGCCTGTTTGTTGTGGGGTTTGCACCATGCTTCGCTTCGCCACCTTGATGGCAATGATTGCTTGGGTCTTACACCAAGCATGGTTGTTGATTTCCTCTTTGCGTTGCGCTTTTGCTCATTTTTGGGCATCCGAACTTGAAAAGGTGCTGGTGCAGTCAGTTCGGCTTGAAGCTCACGACGCCGTTCGCATGTTCTGGAATGAGGACTTGGTGTCTGCACATGCAGCGAAATATTGAATTGTTTTAACCTGCAGGAGGCTTATGCGGCCCAAGAAATGACGATCGCATCATTGGAACTGGAATTGGAAAGGAGAACGATGCAAGGTGAAGACATGCTCGCTCGACTGAGGAGCTGCTATGATGCATCTCGACTGCGTGCTGGTTGTCGGGGTCGTGCGTCGCTCGTGCCTTTTTCTTGTGTCGCGTGTGCCGGTTTTATTTGTGTCGCTTGTGCCTTCATGTGTTGTTTTGTGGGTGGGGGCGGGGCGGGAGGGTGGGGGGCGCGCTTTTTTGTCTCTCTACTGAAACAACAACAACGTGGTGGTGGTTGTTTGATGTTCGTTGATTAGCGCAGCTCTTTATCATGGGGCATGGTTGGAGAGGATGCATCTCTAAGCATGCTGGAGCAACAGCTTCTTGGCTTCCATAAAGCCCTGAGCCCAGGCACAGTGCCCGCTGCCTTCGCAAATCAGTCCAGAGGACCCCTGGAGTTCTGCTTTTATGCTTTCGGGGCTTGGATGTTAGGACTTACAGGCGTAGGGTTTAGGTTCTTTCGTTATCCAGAGTTGCGGCACGCGTGAGCATTCAAGGATTTGTTTAAGGGGCACGGCATGGGGCGTTAAATGCAAGACACGCAGTGTGTAGCGTAAGAAGTGGCTTTCGGGCCTTGAAGTTCCAAGTGGCGTTATGTATCTTGGAGTTACGGGACATAGCACAGATTGCGCGAAAATTATCGTTCGCAGAAAGCCAACTGTTTATCTGGCGTCGGCTAAGGGGAGGGGTGACCAGATTGACGGCTTGGCAGGAAGCAAAGTTTGGGAAAGGCCGCAAGTTGGCATGTCGATTTCAGCATGGCAGGGGATTGCAGAAGCGGATCTGCAGCGCCGCGCCCCCCCCCCCCCCCCACGTTGAGCGCTGGCGCCACATGCTTAGGGATAGAGATGCTCTTGCTGGTGCCAGGTTTTGGGGTGTGATTTGCGTCTCCTCGTGGTGCTTTTGAAACCCAGACGTCCGAGCATGGTAACATCACCAGGCTAGAAATCAAGTTATATAATGCTTTCAGCAAGCCCCAAAACGATCCCGAGGAGCCCGCAGCTGCGTCGTCGTCGCAGGTTCAGGCCAGGCCTTTCGACGTAACACCGCCAGGCTAGGAATCAAGTTGACGCTCTCAACAAATTCATCGCATTCCAAGGTAAACCTTCCTGATGCTGAACACAACTCTGCAGGCCGGCTGCGCAACGATAATCACTTGACAAGATTCTGAATGTTTGGAAGGCTGGCATGACGTTTGCTCAATCTTCAAACCCAACAACAGACGCGAAGACTTTGTACACACGAGGCAACGCGTTAGCTAGGCTATTGGGGCTGACGGCTTGGGGCTTGCGTCTTGAGCTGAACAAGCCATGGCATTTTGAGTAAGGGAATTGTGCCACACTATCCGATCAGATTCCGAGCGACGTCGGGCGTTTCTGGTCTGTTCCGGAATGCCTTCCGACCAAGATCCCTTCGTTTTTGCAGGACTCCTGATGGTTTTCTGAATGGAATCCGATCGAATGCCGATGGGCTCTGAATGCTATCCGATCGAAATCCGATCGGTGTCAGACGTTCGCTGGCGTGTTCGGAACGCAGTCGGCATGCAATTCGACCGAACCTTATCGTTTTCTGATCAGCTACGAACTGCACTCCGATTGTAAACATATCGATTTCGATCAGGGGAGTGTTGAGAGCTCTCCTTATGCTACGAAGAGACTGATGATGATGATGATGATGATGACAACCCACATGGCTCAACCATCAAGTTAAGATGTAGTTGGTGCCAAGACCACTGTGGAGATTCATTCCAGATCGATTCTGTTGGGATCATCCCTTGAGTGAGTTAGCCCCAGCCATTCGCAACAATCGCTATCGTTCAGTTGCACAGAGGGTTGTCACGGTTTAACAGTTTAGTTTGGTTGTTGCTTGCGCCGTCGTATTTGTTGACAGGACGCAAGAGCAAGGCCCGCGACGGAAAGGGCAAGGGCCGGAAAGGGCACGGCAAGAAGTAAGCCCACCTAGTGTTATGAGACCCAGTCCCTGCAACCCTTGGGATGGTCTGAAAACATTATTTGTGTGAGGTTTTGTGTGAGGCTGAGTGTGAGCGGCGATTCTGAGTGCGAGCGGAAGTGTGAGTGGGATCCGGGAGTGTGAAAGGGAGTGTGAGTCGCCCATTCATGCTCACACTTCCGCTCACACTTTTTGTTGTGTTTTGCAGCAAAGATGTGTGAGCGGGAGTGTGAGCGGACGTGTGAGCGGAAGTGTGAGCGGAAGTGTGAGGGGGAGTGTGAGAGGGAGTGTGAGCGGGATCGGGGTGTGAGTGGCTCATTCATTCTCACGCTTCCGCTCACACTCCCGCTCGCTGTTTTTGCTGTGTTTTACAGCAAGACTGTGTGAGCGGAAGTGTGAGCGGGATCTGGGGTGTGAGTGGCTCATTCATGCTACAGCAAAAATGTGTGAGCGGGAGTGTGTGTGGGAGTGTGTGCGGAAGTGTGAGCGGAAGTGTGAGCGAGAGTGTGAGAGGGAGTGTGAGCGGGATCCGGGGTGTGAGTGTCTCATTCATGCTCACGCTGCCGCTCACACTGCCACTCACACTTTTTGCTGTGTTTAACAGTAAGAATGTGTGAGGGAGTGTGAGAGGGAGTGTGAGCGGGATCCGGAGTGTGAGTGGCCCATTCGTGCTCACACTTTCGCTCACACTCAACCTCACACTTCCCGATGGGCTGGAAATTCATGCTCACACTTTCGCTCACACTCAACCTCACACTCAAACTCACGATAATATTTATTTCCTGGAATCCAAGCACTTGCAGGGTACCGGGTGTCATAAACCTAGTGCTGTACAGTGTGGAGCCAATGCTTCGTGTTCTCATGAGCCGCGCCCCCTTCGACGAGAAACAATTGCTTGATCGTGCCTGGCAGTACTCTTGGTAACCCATCGTTTCCTCAGACTCTGCTTGCAGACAATTCCAGTCTTTACGCTAGATGCTACCATATTAATACAGGATGTCAGCATGCCACCATGATGAAATTCAATCGCCAGGATGGCTGGGTTCATTTCACACATCGGTCCTTTGAGGGCACGTCCTGTTGACTGCGGACCCAAGCTTGCGGCTGGCTTTAGGCTACCCGGAAGCCAGAAGTTCAGGGTGAAGCATGCAAAGGCTTTTGGGCAGACGGGGCACCGCGTCGGTGTGGAGCAGGGCTTTGAGCTCCAAGGACCGGCTACAAGAGTTCAGCCTGAAGGCAGTCGGAAATTTGATCCACATCAAGCCAGGGTTGTGCGCAAAACAAATTACGAACAACAAAAAGAAGTGCACAAAGCTGCTGCCGATCGCAACTGCCGCCCTGATCCTGAACTTGGGTAGGGATTCTTAATGTTTGGCATCGTTTCTTGGAGAAGCGGCGGCCTAGTCATTTATACCGCCGGCGAGGCCTTCATAGTGTTTTTTGTATTGTTATGTCGCTGTCCGTAAGTGTTCGGTTTACTTACTTGAGCTCGTGACCCTTTTCGCAAATGGCTATAGTGGTTATCCTTCAAGTTGCAGCGTTGAAGATGAACCACCCTCTGGGAACGAGCGGAACATGTAGATTTTGATAAGTGCTGTTTTGGGAGGACTTTGGGGAAAAATTGCTAGTCTGCGCAAAGGATCCGACCCTACCGGAAAGACAAGTCGGAGATTTGCTTCAGCAGTAGGTTCCAATCCAAGTCAGGGTGCTGACCAGAACCGCTGCGAAGTCGCCATTACCTGAAGCCCACACCCACAGTCTGTCATGAGGTCTTTGGCATTTCCTGTTCGTTGCGCCGGTCATACCAATTTCATGAACATGCTCATGTGAACAGCATTTTTGCGTAAAAATGTTGCTCAAGCTTGGGTTGAGCCGTTGCTGCGATGGGTTTGAGCTTGTTTAGCCTTTACACTCTACACTGCCTGCGGGCCTGCGGCCAGGACGGAGAAAAGAGCCACCTCCAGAAAAAGGTAGTTTTTAGAGTGGTTCGAGAGTTCGAGAAACAAGTGGAATCAGGGGTGTGGTTGGGTCCGACAATCCTCAAGTCACAACTCAACATTTTGGATAGTGATCGCATCATAAAAGTGCACATCCTATACAAACTTTGGCCATGACTACTGCGCCGTGCTCCTGGTACTCCTGGGAAGCGGCGCGACCTACAGTAAAGGCGTGTGCGTCGTGGCTTTTGATTGGGTGTCTTTCTTGTGGTGGTGGCGGCATGTTTGAACAGGTATGGCTGCGAGAGACTTGCGGCAACGATCTGTGTGTGCTGGAGGAATATGAGGCCATTGCCCGTGTAGCCGCAGGGCAAGTTCAGTCATGACCTCGTGCCACGTAAACAAGTCTTCCAATTTGAAAAGCGTAATTTATGGGATGGCAGGTTTGTGAGCGTGTCAGCGAGATGGCGTCTGTGCGAGCTGCCATTCGACCCAGCGAGGCAACCGCCAGCTACCGCTATACCGCGAGCTACCATTTGATGCGCGGTGTTCGTAAGTGCCACACTACAGGTACTTGTTGCCTTCATGAAGGCGTTCTTCGTCTACTTGAATCAGATCTCTTCTGGCGTAGCGTTTCTTCGGGCAAGCCGTAGCTGGCCTGAAGGGATCGTGCTAAAGGTGCGGCTCACTAGTTGGTTGCTTGTGGATTGTCAGGGCTGTCCCTAAGTTCCAGGTGATGGATTTCAATTTTGACGTCCCAACAAACAGGCAGGATCTGGTCAGGACAGTTTGCGCATTTGGTTGCGTTGGGCTTGCAAGGTTGCTGCGAGCTTTGCTGGTCAAGCAGGGATCTTGGCCAGCGAGCCAGTGCAGTGGCAATGACGATAGCCGGACTCGAATTGAACTCACCCACAGTCTTCAGGCAGCAATGTGCGAATATCTCTGCTCACAGGGAGACTGAGGCCATGATCTGCGGGGTTGAAACTAAGCAGTTTCGCTCAGCCGTCCAAGTTAGGATGAAGCCAGGTCAGAAGTCCAGCAATCTTTGAGGAGGCCAGAATACGTTGTCTTGTTGAGGTTGATCGTTCAGGCAAGGTGAGATTGGGCGTGGACGATGCTGCAGTTCAAAATCTGACTTGGCTTGGATATGAGAGGTCTTCAGGATTCTTAGCTCCCGTTCTGCGGTTGGTGCAGAGAGTCGTTCACCGGACTTGAGGCCCTGCCAAGAAAGCTGGACAAAAAGCGTCAGAAGAAGCAGATCAAACTGCGGATGCAGGCCAACCCTGGGTTGGGATGGGATGTTGCACCAACAGGTGGGTGACATGCTGTGGAAGATTGTGGAAGGCCCTCAGACGTCGTGGCATCTTTTGCAGCAGCGGTCTTGGCTGAGTGTCCTGGTTGCTGTCTGATGTTTAGCCCGCTCCATGTTGACCCGTGTCAAGGCCACGGAATGAGAGACATGTTTCCCTGAGAAGTCGATCTTCAAAGCCAGCTTCTGAGCTTGAACTCTGTTTGTTGAAGTTCCTGGTCGTGACACGGATACATGCTTCAAGTCAGAAGTGGGCGCGTCCAGCCGTTGTTTGCGGCGGCACTGCGCCGGCATTCACAAAAGCCAGCAGCAGGCAAGCTAGGCGCCTAAGCGATAGCCTTTGCGCTTGGGGAGAGAGAGAGAGAGAGAGAGAGAGAGAGAGAGAGAGAGAGAGAGAGAGAGAGAGAGAGAGAGAGAGAGAGAGAGAGAGAGAGGGCGCGCGCAACTTCGTGTCAGAAAGCACGCACGCTCCCCCTAGGTGGGATCGGCAGACTTCGAATAGTCGGGTGCCCAGGTCTCTCGCATCCTTGTTGGGCTACAGCTCGAATGAAAAGTATTCTTGATGATATCCTGGAAGGAAAGCAGGTGTGGGGAGAGTGGGCTGGGCGATCCCGGTGGAAAAAAGCTCAGAAGCAGCGTGCTGTTTCTCAGTGTACATTGAGACCGGTGGTTTTCTCCATTCAGGGAGCCTGAGATTCAACCGTGGGAGACGGCATTCCAGGGCTGTGCAGGCCTGGCAGGGAAGCAGCCAGAAATCTCAGCAAAGACGCGCATAAAAAGTACAGCACTATCTAAAAACCCTGCGGATTGGACGAATCTCGAAGTTCCAGAGCTGTCTTTGTGTCAGGGGGCTTAGCAAGGGTCTGCAAGCGAGCAATCTTGCAGCCCTTTCGCAGTGCGGGCTGTGTCAGATCCGACGATCTGCTTGAGATTTCGTGCTCAAGGACGGATGCTCTTGACCCACCGAGCTGACTGGACCAAGACGCACATGGCATGCACTCGTTCAACATGACGACCGATTAGATAAGACATTTGCAGAGGAGTGATATTCCAGGATCTATCGCTAGCGTTGATGGGGTGGCTTACGCTCAGCAGCACGCTGTGAGTGGATGTTGGAGAGATTGTAGCAGCACTTACAGAAGCGCCCCGTTGGAAGTAGCTGAGCTGTTTTGCTAGTTCCTGCGGTTGCTATGTCCTGGCATCGTAGATGCGGTCAGGAAGGGCGTCTCATGAGGTGTTATGTTTGTTGGAGCGCTGGTCTGCTGGTCTGTCACCTTTAGCGTCTGGGGTTTCAGGTCGTCCAGACGAGACGGGTGCACGCAGTGAATTAGAATGGCTAGCAGCCGGGATGATTTCATGAGGAAATGTATGAATATGTTAATGTTGGCAGCGGCGTCCGAAATCGGGGAAAACAAGCGGATCACGACCTGTGTGCTGGCTCGCCAGCAGCATCTCGTGAGTCCTAAAGACATTCTGCCTCCCATCGATTGGATTGGTGCCTCAAGCTCCTCGTTTGCTCATTCCAGTTGCCCTGTGGGTGAATGGTTTCCGATCAATGTTGGCAGCGGAACTGAGTGTGCTTCTTCCGTGACTCAGAGCCTTCGCTTGCCTCTCCCATCCCATTGAGTGGGGAGGCCCTGCATCAGCCACGCACTTGCTTCAGCAGCCTCGCACTTGCATAGCATGTTTCACTACAGCAGCCAACATCTCTGGACAGCACTGAACTGCTGGCGACGTCAATGACAGTGCCTATGCCTCCTCCTCATCCTCCTTCCGCTCCTGTCCCCTCTGGCTCCTTCTCACGCCTTCTCTCCCTCCTCTCTTCGGCTCCCTCTCCCTCCCATCCTTCTCCTCCCCCTTCTCCGCCTCCGTGTCTTCTTCCCCTCTCTATCTCCTCCTCCTGCCACCCCTCCTCCACAGACTGGCGAAGGGAAGCTACACCACTACGGGAAGCAGGACCTCCCGCTGTGCAAAGCAAGCGGTGGACCCCACGTAGTTGTCTGAGCTTCTGCTTCGCAGTTTAGCGAAACAATCACTGCACAGGCTACTACAAACGGCACGGCTGTTGCTCCGGTGACCCCGATGCTGAGTTGACGTTGCAGCAAGCAGAATGCACGCTTATCCACGAGTATACGTATAATTGTAAGTACAACTCGGAGTGAAGTGTGGCGAAATACTCCAGGTTTCCGATTGGTTGTGATTTCCGCCACCTGCAATCATCGCTTTGTTGTGGAGATCGGTGCAGGCCCATGCCACACGGTGGTCGGATCCTCAGCCCCGAAATCTCGTGCAGCTAACTACAAAAAAGCTGCATGGACATCTACCGCTCATGCACACGTACTCTTATGCATAAGTGTGTAAAGTGAAAGTTGTGTACTTGCTGCAGATTCGCTGTCATGGGACGTTCACGGTAGTTCACGCTGTTACAGGTCCATTGATGCACTGAATCCGGGCCGTTCTTCTCGAACCCAAACCCGAATCCCTAGTGACTACACTCCTTGTCGTTTTCTCTCTCTCCTTTTATAAGGGACTGACACAGCTTTTGGGCGATTGAGTTCAGGAAGAAAAGACAGACGGACATGGGTTGCCTGACCCACATGGTTTGCTTAGGTTAAGGTATACGGGAGGGGATCCCCAAGTGCAATCTCGTGAAATTTTCGTCCCTCTGCAGTGACCTGGAGTGCGGGCGTAAAGCGTGGCCGGATTTGTGCCGTGACCGCCTGCGCCACCGGCGCCACCCGGCCTGCCGCATGCACCTGCAGCCTTATTCCTGCGCCCCCTGCGCCACCCTGCGCCCCCTGCGCCACCCTGCGCCCCCATGCGCCACCCCTGCGCCACCCTGCGCCGCCTGCGCCACCTACGCGGTCTGCGCCATCTGCGCCACCCCGCGCCGTGCGCGCCGCCCCTGCGCCACCTTGCGCCACCTGCGCCATCTGCACCTTCCGGCGCCACCATCTGCGGCTTTTTGCACCATCTGCGCCTTCCTGCGCCACCTGCGCCACCTGCGCCCCCATGCGCCCCTGCGCCACCTGCGCCATCTGCGCCTTCCTGCGCCATCTGCGCCACCTGCGCCCCCATGCGCCACCCTGCGCCACCTGCGCCATCTGCGCCTTCCTGCGCCATGTGCGTCATCGCGCCTTCCTGCGCCACCTGCACCATCTGCGCCTTCCTGCAGCCCTTCCTGCGCCACCCTGCCCGGCTGGCGCCAACGCGCCACCTGTGTCTTGAAACTTTGTGTGCGCGCCATTTGCACCTTCTGCGTCAATTTGCACCACATGTGCCACATCTGTAATCTGGGTAAAATTTATATGTTGACAATAACAACTATAATAATAATAATAATAATAATAATAATAATAATAATAATATATATATATATATATATATATACAAATACTGGTATGTATGTGCGGTCACGTGTATGTATGTATGTATGTATGTATGTATGTATGTATGTTTATATATACATATATATACATATACACACACATGCTGCCTTTTATCTGTCTTAATTATTATACTACGGGGGTATAAGATGGCTCACGGTGCGGGAGGGATGCGATGCGGGGTGCAGGGGGTGGGGGGTGGGGGGTGCGGAAGGGGTGCGGAGGGGTGTGGAGGGGTGCGAGGCCAGCCCTTGTTTTGACAGCCAACGACCACAGCTCCCAGAGCAATGACGAAGAGTTGCGCTCTGGCACCGCCTCGCGAAAAGGTGACATCAGGATTCGCTTGTATCGTGCAACGATGGTTTGACGAGCTCGGCCTATATACAGCTTATCGCGTCGGGTTTTTTTATCTGCTACGGTGTGTTTGCGTTGTGTGACCTCGTTGGACGATTGGTGGATTCCTTGTGCGGTCGGGACCTGGGGCTTATCTACAATGCCTGGAAACTCTACCTTGGGGGGGTGGGGGGGGGGGGGGGGGAGGGGGTTGTCTTTTGGGGGGGGGGGGGGGGGGGGGGGGGGGGGGTTGGGGGGAGGGTCGTCCGGCCACAGAAACCGTCAGTACTACTACTACTACTACTACTACTACTACTACTACTACTACTACTACTACTACTACTACTACTACTACTACTACTACTACTACTACTAGCACCACTGGTACTACTAGGGCCATTGCTGCTATTGCTGTTGTTGCTGCAGCAAAGCACCCTCAGACCCAAACCCAGCCGGAAAACAATCCCCTTTGTGCTTTGGTGCAACTCTCCTGCATGTCACCCTTGCGCAGGGCCGTTGGGTTGGGAACTTAGGGCTTAACCCCACCCCTGTGCCCTGCGGTCGCACGGGTCATCTTGGCCGTAAGCAAAGCAGCAGGGGTTGGGGGGGGGGGGGGGGGGGGGGCTGCAGGCTTACAGTATGATGTACGTATGTATAGGTGTATATATATATATATATATATATATATACGTATATGTATATCGATATATCTATATGTATGTATGTATGTAGGTATGTAGGTAGGTATGTATGTATGTAGGTATGTAGGTAGGTATGTATGTATGCATGCATGTATGCATGTATGCATGTATGTGTATGTGTATGTGTATGTGCATGTGCATGTGCATGTGCATGTGCATGTGCATGTGCATGTGCATGCGCATGTGCATGTGCATGTGCATGCGCATGTATGTATGCATGTATGTATGTATGTATGTATGCGTAAATATACACATATGTATATATGTATGTATATATATATATATATATACATACATACATATATGTATTTTATTCAATGCATAATAATGATTCATTTTATACCATGATTTCTATGCTCTACATATTTCAGCGGTGCGGGGGTGCGGGCGGTGCGGGGGTGCGTGGGGTGCGGGGGGTGCGGGGGGTGGTGCGGGGGGTGGGGGGTGTGGGGGGTGCGGGCGGTGCGGGGGTGTGTGGGGGGGTGCGGGGGGTGCGGGGGGGTGCGGGGGGTGTGGGGGGTGCGGGGGTGCGGGGAGGGGGGGTGCGGGGGGTGCGGGGGGTGCGGGCGCGCTTCTGGCCACCATTCGCGCCCGCAATGGTGACCTGCATGTAGCCGACCTGGTAGTCCTGCGCGTACAAGTGGCTGTTGTAGATTCTGCCACGAATCGGAAACGTCTGCTTTGCGTTCGGAGCCAAGCGCTTGGTCCGTAAACCCTAAAACCCAACCCTAGCAGGTGAACCGGTACCCCGAAGCCCTAAACTTGTTAGACTGTAACACCCCATAAACTCTACGGTGCTTTCGTGGGCCGGAGCCGTGCAGCTGCGAGGTGCGGTACGATCAAAAAAAGCTTGTCGAAGGCCCGGGGTAGAGTGTTCAAGAGTTCAGGCTTTGTGGGTTTGGGGTTTTGGGTTTCGGTGTGCTGAGCTTTGGGTTTCTTATTAGTTGGTTTCCGGAAGCCGCAGCTCGCTCGCTTCCATGAAGCCACCAGCTCGCGGAGCTTGGGAGTTGGAGACGGTTTGGGTGTGGTCGGCAGCTGCAACACGTCGTGCGCAGGGTGCAGAACTTGCTGGCTTGAAGAGTCAGGCCGTGGGTGAAGTTTGATCGGTTTGGGTACAGGTATTTGTTACGTAGCGCAACAGTGATCATGAGATTGCAAGCCTTGCTACGATGGCTACAGCTAATACTTGTCTCCGCAGCGCAAAGATAGGACGGGCGGAACAGTAATTTCGATCCGTAACAACCGCGGCAATTGGAAGACAATCCTCGAATCAGTAGTCTGTACGTAAGATCATCGTGCTTGTTGCTGCTGTTGGCGTTGTGAGCTGTACTGCTGCTTCTGCTGCTGCTATGATAATGCCCCCCTCCGTTTTAATTCTGGACCCTTCGAGGCAGAGGCTTCGGCTTCATTAAGGCCGACAAAGATGCCCGGCTCTTGCCAACGGAATGGGGACGATTGGATTTCGGCAACAGGTTCGGGTGCAGTTGTCCAGGGCACTGCCAAGCAAGACACAACTGTTGTGGAGGAAGCGAAGTCATGTGCTACAAACTAAGGTGGCCTGTGGAGACATCTTTTTTCTCCTCTCGGACAGGAGGCGAGGAAACCGAATCAGCTATTGGCCAGTAATATAGGAGTGACAGCTTGTGGATGTTTTCGTCGGAGAGCCATGGTGTCTCCTAGACCGGCGTAACATTTGCAGGAACGGAGGCTGCCTAGAATCCGCGATTGTCCTGACCAAATCCTTCGGCTGCGGAGCGCCAAACCCAAGAACCCGGCAAATCCGCGAAAACTTTACGGGTTTAGGGAAGAAAAACGGTTCAGCCGTTTACCCTCAACCTTTGCGTCCTATAAATAAGCCCCAGAGTCCGAACCCTGAACCCGTGGTGTAGGCATCGGGGCGATGCAGCCAAAGCTCTGCAAGTGGGGTCCCGTCGGCACCTCAGAGATGAAGCTTGGGGATCTGCAACCCTTGATTCAGGACTTTGCAACACCAAATGCTAATCTCCAATAGTGCGCGCTCAGGTTCAAGACGCACTGTCCTGGGGGGCTTAGTTTAAGGATGTAGGGAATTTGCAGATGTTCAACGAATACCGGCTAGGTAAGAGGTGTTTGAGCTCTGAAGCTTCACAGACGTTCGAGTAGCGATGGCTTTGGGTGTTATAGCTCTTTCGCCATGGTGTCAACATACGTCGAAAGGGTCACGAAAGCTAGCTTCCGAGTCTAGTGGAGTTTCGTATCAACCGAAGGTTGCAGCAAGGGGAGGGGCACCCCTCAGGGTGGGCAATTAGCGCCAGTTTTCCGGGCCAGACTGCGCTTGGTTGGGCGGGCGCTGGCACTTCTTTTGGGTATCTAAAGGTGGCGTTCGGTTTGCCTTTTGGTTCGATGGAGAAGAACTGAAACGCGCCCCAATGATGCTCGCTCACCGGTTCCGGTGGGTTCCAATGATGTTGATGATGCTCTCTGACAGGTGCCGATTGGGCACCCAATCATGCTCACCATGCTGGTTAACCGGCTCTGATTGGAACCTAAGAATTTGTCAGGGGCTTTACTCTTAGGTCATGGCAAACGTGTCTTGCGCACACCTCCGAATGGTAGCTGAACCCCATATGCTTCCGACATTCGCAGTGAGATCTCACGTTCCCCCTGTGCATGGTGCATTAGAGACTAAGCATCGGTGTGTGCATCTGTGTGTGTGTGTGTGCACGCCTCGCTTTGCGTAGTGTGTGTCGGTCGGTGTGTGTCTCTGTCTGTTTGTTTGTCTGTCTGTCTGTTGTGAGACCAGTTGTCACAGGGGGTGCGATTTCCAGTTGTTGCAGGCACCAGCGTATGAATGTGAGCAGCTCATGCATCCCGAAGGGTACGATTTGTTGCGTGTATGGTTTTGAGATCACACATAGCGATCAGCTCAGACATCACAGAAGGTATTCATATTTTATCTCTGCACGCTGAATAATGAATCAGATAGGAAATAGAAGCCCCCGAACTCAATCTTCGATAAGAATAGATGATGACAACGGCAGATGGGATATGGGGGGAGGGATTTGAGATTCGATATGGCTTAAACTGTAATCGTCGATAATAGATATATGATTCGCTCCAAGCTATGACGCTATATCGATTGAGCATACTACAGCATCTAGCCGTTCAGAATCTGAAGTTGGCCCGGAAACTAAAAAGAAAGCTGCAGGCTCTGCAGTTTTGTTGACGGTCAAGGTATGCTAGCTTCGATCCTGACCTGGAGCTTGGTGCCCTCGCCCAGGCGCTTTTGAATTCGGTTCCGGCGAGGACCGGGCCATAGTCAAGTGCCATTGCACAGCATAGCATACAAATCAAACCTGTCTTTCTGGTGCGAGCCTTGGCATTGCATAAAGCCCTTACCTTGCTTATGCATCTTTTCGGATTCGATCCAGAGGATTTTATGCAATGGGAGTGAACTGCTGGCCGAACGAGCTGAGTGCCCGCTTGCTACTTCACCAGGGCATCCATGCCTTTTCCTTGCAACTATAGCAACATGACTTCAAATTTGAGATATGCATCTGATCAGCTAAGCTGCCAGTGTCTGTGTGCGCTTCGTTTTGCAATACGCATCTTATGCAAAGATTAAGCGTTGATAGCTGAGTCGCTGCACGGTAGCCATCCATGGTGTCACAGGTGGCCTCGTCAGTTCCAGGCGTCGCCTTGCGCACAGTATGCTCTGCAAAGTTCTGTCCGAGTACGCACATGTGGCCCTTAGGTGGAGATGCTACCTGTTGCAGATGACAGCTAGTGTCAATATGTGGTTCAGCACATAGATCTGGAGGAGAGTTGGCGTGCCATGCAAAGACCGTGGTTCAAGCATGCCTCATCCGGCCTGTCATGCCATAGAAACGAAGCAGGTGACCTATCGTGACCTACAAAATGCTTTACACCAATGGCAGCCTCCCATCGTTTGCCAGTTCTGCGCTCCTTACATTGGTATCCTGACCTGATCCTCATGACGTTTTTGTTGAAGCAGGGCAGTCAAGGCAGTCCGTTGCACTATGTCCTCTGCTTTGCAGGTATGTTGCTCGGATGCGCGACACAACACGGCTGGTGATGGATGTAGCATGACGCATCTGGAGTGCTACTATTGAGACTGAGAGTGATCAGAATGCAAGAGAATTCCACAGAGTAAGCATTCCGTTTAGCCTACGGCCTGTTGCAACTTTTCGGGCCGCAGAGCCTGCAAAATGAGATATCGCCGGATATCGCCCCTGGTGTAGCGAGTCATCGCAGCCATTTTGGCGAGAGTCTTTCTTTGCTGCTTTGCCTTCCCATTCCAGCGCCGTCGCCACGCAAGAGCTCTTGCAGAATGGTCAGATTCGGCATGATCCCGCTGGACGAAGAGGCGGTCTCGGGTGAAGCTGGAGATCGGCGCGCCGACCTGATGCCCGATGCACGCACTTCCAGGATGCACCGTGGAGCGGTGTCAGCCCTGGCCATCATGGCCGTGGCTTTGCTTCTGCTTGGTCTGGGATGTGTGGCTACAGCGGCTGTTTCGGAAGTTGAGGAGGCAGAGCACGTGGAGGATCTGGGAGGTTTGGAAGTCAAGGAAAGCCTGGACCTTGAAGATCTCGAAGACGGTTGGCCGGTGACAAAGAAAGAGATCAAAAGCATCCAATACAACCCGGCTGGATGCTTTGCAAGGCTCAGCTATGCTACAGCATGGAGCGCGTCGCTTGGCCTGAAGATCAGCGCGGCGATGCAGGAGTGCAACGCCCGAAACTATCGAGATGATCCCACGCCATTCCGTCGCCTGAACGAAGTTCCGGAGGCTCATGAAACACACAAGCTGCCCTCCTTGCCACAGGAAGCGTCCATCCACTACCCGGCGTCTCCATGGGCACAGTACATGGACTCCACCAAGCTTGCCAAGCCTGATTCCAGGGATGCCAAGCACGCAGAAAGCTTGGGTGCGGATGAGGATGGTATAGCGGGCCAGTCCGCATACAACTTGACCCACGGAGCCTTACACCTGAAGACGCTATTTGCCTTTGGCAAGCACTGGACCGTGGAGGGCTGGCACTACATCAAGGACGTTGAAAATGCCCATAGCATCATGTAGCATCGAAACACAAGTTAGGCGGATTAACGTGGGCTATATGAGAAGGGTAGTGGGGGAGGGCCTACTCCGCCTGAACCGCTTTGTCTCGGGCCCGTGTGGGATTTGCAAAGGGTAATTGCTGACTTGAGTGGCACAAAGCGGAGAACTCGGTGCAGCGCTTTGTGGCGTGACCACCTCACTAAACAACTTGTTCAACTTGAAATACGATCTTTGGGACGTAGGTTAGCCACCAGCGGGAGGTGTATGGAGGTGTAGAATGTAGGCACGGAGTTGAGAGGAGCATCATCCGGGTTGCCTTTGGGACACGCGCCGCGAGCAAGGCGCTGTGGGTCTCAGGGGATGCTTTGATTCTTTTGGCCGTCTTGGAATCGAAGCCTTCGGATCAGAAGATCCTGTCCCTTTGAGCGCGGCCGTCTTCGAGGCGTCGGTGCCGGTTTCGACGTGGGTACATCTTGCTTTGCAGCGCAGGGGCCCAGATCCGGAGTTCTTCATGGATGGGAAGCCGAAAGGGAAGATGAAAGTCCCAGAACAGTTCACAGGGGAGGAGCTCCTCCCCCAATCCAGGTTCCGGCTTGGTGGCACTGTGGACAATGACCCTGGGCGCAAGTACCGTGGCATGTCAAGCAATGTTCGCCTGACAACCGCTGCAATTTACGCATCGAGAAAGCACTTCCTGCCAGATCCAAATCTCGATCAGTTGATGCAAACGCGCTTCTTGCTCAAGGACCACTTCATGGATGCCGTGACCCAACGGCAGCTGAGGAAGAGCGGGACGGTCACCACAAAGTATGACCCCGAGATTTTGATGGACAGCTGGAAGGCACAGGGCTTTGTTGATGACAAGAATGAGAACTTCACACCGGCGGCGAACCAGTCAAGGCTGGAGGTTCTGCGGAAGCTTTTTCCTTTCGAGGATCCAATCTATAAAACGGAGTTCCGGGGAGCCTTCTGTGCCCGAGTCGTCCTACAGATCATCAAGGAAGTCTTCACCATCCAGGACAAGGTGATGGCCGCAGTTCCCATGTGTGACGCTACTGCAACAAGCCCTCAGTGCTACAAGGCCGCTAGTTGGGTTGTTCGTAATGCTGTTAGCATGGCCCGGTATTCCGCAGAATTGCAGCCACGATGTGAGAAGACGGAGAATGAAGACTTCAGAGGAGATTTCAGATGCAGCGAGCGGCTCGAGGGACTCTCTTGGTCTCTGGACAGCTTCTCCTCGTCTGTTTCAAAAGCACAGCGCGTCTGCGAGGACAACGTGCTCCGGAGCCCAAAGTTGGATCTGGGGGCCTGTGTCGGCGAAGCCCTATCTGCTACCGGATACATGTTCGCCAGTGCCCTCCTCTTGGAGTCTGCTTTGGGATTTGACTGCCCTGGAAACACCAACGATGCCGACGAACAGAACAGCCAAGAGCCGAAGTTCATCCCGGAGACGCAACGCTTGACCTGTGCCAGGGACTCCACGGCCATCTTTCGTTGCACTTTCCTGGCAGGATCCAAGGCGGTCAGAGCCGCAGGTCATTGCGGGGGCACAGACACGCTCTGTGGGCGAAGCATCTTGAGGAGTGCCGCTGCATTGTCGGGTGTCGCAGAGAACGGCGTCTTCCTCCGTGTTTTCTGCCACGGAAAGATGCCTTGCTGCCAGCTAAATCCTGACACCTTGGAGAAAGAGTGCGAGTGTTCACAGAAGGACCTCATCGAGCTGGCACGGGACGACGCCAGTGACCAGAAGCAGTGCGCCAGGTTTGGGGGATCCACAGTGAAGCTGATTGGATCCGCGGCTTTGGCTGCCACAGAAGCAGAAGGCCAGTGCAAATTCGCTCGAACTTCAGAGAGCTCGTGCGAGACCATGGTGCCTGCAGCCATTGCTGGCTTAGGCTTCTTCCTGGAGAGCTCAGCTCGACAGTCTCGCGACTGCCCTCCAAAGCCTGTGCCTCTGGAAGCCGAAGAAAGGAAGAAGGACGCCATCATTGGCCCGGCTGACCCGCAGCAGTGGTATCAATGCGGCCAGGACACAAAGCGCATTGGCGTCTCCATGGATGTCATAGCTCGAGGCATTGCTGGTGCCGTGGTGAACTGTCCTTACGGTGACCTTCCCAGAGTCACCAGCCCGATCAAATCACCCAGGCGATTCCTCACCCCATGAGTGCAAATAGGTGCACATGCAGCATTGCGGCAGGCCTCTTGAGGCTGCTTTTTAAACATGGTTTTGGATTTCATGCACCGCGATTCGTAGATACCAGTTTTGAAGCTCTCTTTTCCATCTTGAACAGACAAGAAGCCTTCAGGTTGTCTGCGAGAGCTAGTCAAAGTAATTTGCACATGTCCTGGTCACTGGCATTTGCGCTTTGGCTCACAGGAATGGGTGGCTGCCCGAATTCTTGTAAGATGGACGGGAATTCAATGATTTAACGGGCATACGCAGGGCAAGAACCATCCCCTTTTCCTGGACAGTTGCCAAGCGCTCGATGTCCATCCAGCTTTTTTTGAATTTAATTAAGACACCTTGATATGTTCCAATTTTGTCCGGTCAGACTCTATACAGGCCATACAGACAATGAGCCGTCCAGGCTTTTTGGTGAGTCTGTCAGCAGCTGTCAACTAGTCCCTAGGCTGAGCTTTCAGAGTTTCTGTGCAGCTTCATGTGCCGGAACTCTGGGGACACACCAGTCTCAGCATGCACCTGTCATGAGTACTGGGATTTCGTGGTCGGCATAAGACATGCCTTTCGTGCGAAAAACGCTGCGGCTAGTGATACTACTACAACTGCAAGAGTGTATAGTGTAGAGCTACCCACAATGTCAGTCCAGGCCGCTCTTCACGCAAAACATCGCAAAACAGTTTCATAAAGAAGTAATTATCATGCTCCTTTGAGAGGTGATACTGATAATCCTCCGTGGACCTCCAGTCCACGAAGAGTGGTGGGTAGAGCGCGAGAATACCGTTGTTGATCAGATTTTTGCTGACCGAACATGCTTAACTCTTATCGCCGTCATTTCGTCCGTTGTTACTATCACGATGACGCCGATACTGAATGATACTGAAAGGTCACTCTCAACCCGACCTGCGTCACGTTTGTTCCTCCCGAAACACCTTCAGAATGCTCAGCAACATCGAAGCCGTCAACACAGTTCAAGCCAGTCTAAAGCGGTTCCACACCTTCTGAGCTTTCCGGAGCAGACTGCGCAGTTTCTTCCCAATGCAATTTCAAATGCGGCTCAGGCTTGCAAGCGCAGGTGGAGCTGAGGGAGGCACGACTTCGATAGTGTCCATTTTCTTTTCCATTCTACTTATGTACCCCTGTATAAACCCTATATGATATATCCCTGTATATAGCAAGTTCACAAGATACCCCACACAAAGACCCTTCGTCAAAAGAGATGCCAGAGAGAAGGCCCGGCAAGGGCCGAAGTCAATCTTGGCCAACGTGACACGCTACGGGGCTCCTATCGGGATAGAAAGGGTTCAAGTAGGAGGGATAGACTGTAAGATACAAGAACTGTCTGATTCTGGTGTCTGGGATTGCTTGTATACAAAATGATGTGCAGGGAAGTGAATGACATGACTTGAAATGAAATGAAATGCAACGAATGTCTAAATGACTGAAGAAACGAGGAACGACCCACGTCCTGTGAGGGCCTGTTGACAGAGCCTGTCGACGGGGCTTATGGTCTATCGACAGGGCCAAAGCCAATGCTGGTACATAGGGCTTGTCATAGGCCTGTGGGTAAGGGTGCACCGGCCCTGTCGACAGGCCCTGCAGCAGGGCTTGATAGGGCCCTTTGTAGGCCCCTGATCCTCGGAGCAATACCTCCTTAACACCCAGTGCATGGGAGCTACGCGCAAAAAGAGGAGCTCTGCATGCATGCTCCTTTCTTGAAGGTGTGCTGTGGGAGCGTCTCGAGCTGACGGCTGTGACTGATCAAGAGTGTCTCCCAAGAGTTTCGTCTTGGCTAGGGGTTGTTGGTGCTAACTAGTTGTACGAATTGGATATACTTGTGACCTGCACTTGCGGTAAACATTGGGGGGGGCATGTCCGAGACTGTTTTAGTGAGTTATTCGTGAATTATTTGTGAGTTGGGTTAGTGAGCGGCCAGAGGGTTCCGAATACTTTGTGAGCTCTTAGAGAGCAAAATTAGCGGGTTAGCAGAGAGCGGTGCGACTGGTGCCACAAGCTTGTGATTTCTTAGAGAACAAGCGTGAGCCACCCATATTCCAACCCGTAGTTCCTTGGGTTTTGGGCCTGAACCCCGTGCCTGGGCCTCTCGAACCGTATTCCAACCCGTATTCCAACCTGCATTCCGACCCGTATTCAAACCCGTATCCAGAACCGTATCCTAAAGTGTATACAAGCTGTATTCGGAACCGTATTATGGCCGTACGACCGTATCTGCACATCATATTGAAAGGGTATTCTAACCCGTATTCGGACATTCCAGGCCGGAATGCTTTGCAAAGCAATCAGCGAACTTCTGGCGCTACTACCACTGCCACTGCCACTGCCGCTGCTACTCTTGTTTCTGTCATTACTATCGAAAGTACTACTGAACTACCACTACCACTACCCTCCCAACCACCACCTTCATCTCCGCCACCTCCGCCACCACCGCCACCGCCACCACACCACTACCCTCACCCCCACCGCCACTGCGGAAATAGTCCTAACTACAACCGGAACCCCGATACCACAACCAGACGCGCTATACGACAACCAGGAACTGAACCTTACTACCACTGAGCAGCTACATGCACAAAAAGGGCCCCTATTACAACTGGGAGGCTCTTGTGTTTAGTACAGGGCTGGGTGAACAGTATTCTGTTGTAGAGCGTTGTCGAGTATGACGATAACGAATTCGTTGACGATGACGGCTCAAGAAGAAGATGATGGTAGCAATAACGATGACGATGAGCATGATGATGACGATGTGGAAGAAGATGACGATGAGGATGGCGATGGCCATGGCGATGATGATGATTCACTACTCCCCAAACGTGACAGTCCCTATAGTTATAGTCTGGTTGTTCCTCGTACCAAAGCCCTTGGAAGTAGCAAACCTTCGGGTTTCACAGGTTTGACTGGGCGGGTAGTGAAATTTTGGCGGTTTACAGCTTAATCCGGTTTCCAACTTTATGGGGTTTACTGTAACCCTAAACCCTGAACCTCTTAATCCCTTCTCTGGGGTAATACACTGTCGGGTTTTTCAGGTTTGAAGCTGTTAAACTTTCGGGGTTTTGCAGGTTTGAAGCCTTTGCGGTAGGACACTTTCGGGTTTTACAATTATGAAGCTTTCGGGGTAGTAAACTTTTTGGTTTACTGCTTGAAGTAGCAAACGATCGAAAAGATAGAGGTCCTAATAGTTAGCAGTTAGTGTTGCTTCTTTATTGTCCGTTGCAAAGTTTTGGTAGATCGTAGGTAGCAGTTAGTGTTAGTTCTCAAGTGTGCGTTATGACGATTTAGTAGATCTTAGCATCCGGGCAAGAACGGTACCTACTGCAACTGGTTTGTTTGGAAAAATGAATGTGGTCCCTTAAAGCTTGCCCATCAGATAGGAAACCATGCAAAATATGGCTGGTTGTGATATGGTGGTTTCGGGTTTTGCGCAAAACTAGCCCCAGTTGCAGTATAGGGCTTCTGGTTGCGGTATCGGGGTTCCGGTTGTAGTAGGGACTTGTCGCCCGCCACTGCCAACTACCACTGCCACAAAACTACCACTAGCACAACCGCTGCTGCCGCTGCTGTTACGACGACTACCACTTGCGCAGGGACCGCCCTCGTCTCTGCCGCCGTCAACCTGGCCCAGAAGCTTGGCTCGGCGTTTCTTGTCCTGGAGCCGCTGGACAAGAAGGCCGCAAACTTCTGGGTCAGGGCCGGATTCGCGCCGATGCGGTGCCGCGGATGCATCCAGAGCTGGCGCACATTATCGACGCACGCTTCCTGAATGTCTGATCGTTTGCCTGTCTGAGGGTCTGAGCTAAGGGCTGGCACAAATTTAATTCAATATGGTCTAGGCCAGCAAAAAGACACATACTATCCAACTCTTACAGAGTGGAGGGGGGCAGTATCCAATATTTGAGGATTAGCGTATCGTGGAGGGTTTTTAGGGCTTCAGGTGTTAAGGGTGAGGCCTTCAACGCTGCACTGCAGAAAATCCTAAGTAATGTGAGAGCCTCAACGCCCTGCCTGCGCGCCGGACTGCAAGTGTGTGTGGTTGAGGCTGGCCTGAAGCCCTGTGAAGTGCTTATGAGCCGGCATTCGGAGCAAATCCAAAATCAATGTTTGGCGACAAACTTGCATTCGACTGTCCGGCTCTCTGTCCGGAACCTCCGTTTGATTTTTGCATTTCCCTTCATGATCTACCGATCTTCCAATGCGCCAATCCCATGCTACTGTACGTGCTGTGTGAGACCTTCGCATCAATTGAATGCGCGAATCCGCCATCTAGTGCGCGAGTCGGTCCCAAACCGTTCATTCCTTCCTGCCTTCATGCCTTCCTCCCATCTTTCTTCATTCTGTCCGTCAGTCTGTGTTTCCTTCCTTCAATCATCACAAGCATCCGCCAGATCAGCAAGCTGAGGTGGGGGTGGGCATCCTGGCCCCACAGCCGGTCCCGCCGAGCAGCGCTGCTCGGCAAGCTGCGCGAGGAAGCCGCGCGGCATGGGCACCGGCTGGGGGAGGCATTTCGAGATGAGCTTTGATTTTTCGCGGTTGGGTTTGCATGTATAATTGATGCAGTGGATGTCGTAGTCAATCTGGAGGGTGCATGAGGACTTCGAAACCCATGTCTAAGGGAAGCTGGGGTAAGGCTGGAGATATTGTTGGAATCGTCGCGGGTCGTTTTCAATTGAGCAGCCGCTCACTTGAAGACGAAAGTGCGCAAAGCTGGGGCAAGGCTGGAGATATTGTTGAAATCGTCTGCGGGTCGTTTTCAATTGAGCAGCCGCTCACTTGAAGACGAAACTGCGCAAAGCTGGGGTAAGGCTGGAGATATTGTTGAAATCGTCCGTGGGTCGTTTTCAATTGAGCAGCCGCTCACTTGAAGACGAAACTGCGCAAAGCTGGGGCAAGGCTGGAGATATTGTTGAAATCGTCCGCGGGTCGTTTTCAATTGAGCAGCCGCTCACTTGAAGACGAAACTGCGCAAAGCT